TATCTAAGTTGTTCTTCCGTAAGTTAAGAACACTTAGAAATATTTACCTTACTTTTTTCTATTTTATAAATTTGATTTTGTACTTTGTGTCTAAGTAGTTCTTTCCGGTAAGTCAAAGAACTCTTAGAAATATTTCTCTGATATTTAACTTGTTAATTTTATTGTGTGCCTAAGTCATTCTTTTCCGGTAAGTCAAAAGAACACTTAGAAATATTTTCACAATCATTATTGCATTATTATTTCCGATATTTATCTAAGATATTTTCTTAATATATTTGTCTCTTTTATTTTACCATTTCATGCTGAATTGTTTCTTCCGTAAGTCAAGAAACACTTAGCAATATTTCCATATCTTTTCTGTATTTGATTTTCTTATTTTCTATTATAAGTTGTTTCTTCCGTAAGTCAAGAAACACTTACAAATATTTGTATTCTTATTTTACTATATTTGATTCTATTGTTTGTTTTCTGTTCTAAGAAACACTTAGAAATATTTCCATACATTGTTTCATATTTACATATTTCATTTATCTATATTTCTGTTTTAAGTTGTTTCTTCCGTAAGTCAAGAAACACTTAGGAATATTTCTGCACTTTTCTGTTCTTTTATTCTTGTGTATTTTACTTTTCATTCTAAGTTGTCTCTTCCGTAAGTCAAGAAACAATTAGAAACATTTTCTATGCATTGTATTTTTATATACCATTTTATTTCCTTGTTTACTAAGTTATTCCTTCCGTAAGTCAAGGAATACTTAGATTATTGTACCTGTTCTGTTTTCTATCTTTGATCCGTTATTTCGTAACCGTTCCTTGGAACTGTTACCTATAACCGATACTTGTCACGGTAACTGTTACTTTATACCAGTAGCGATTATTAACCCTTTTGATAGCGACAACCAAAGATGGTCAACACCCGATCAAATTCCGGAGACAGGAAGAAGTCCGAAGAGCCGGCGATGGGTCCCACAGGCCCAAATGTCCCCTCTCGGCAACATGGCGCCCAACTAACAAAACCCGAACTCACGACCCCAGGACCGTCTTCGAGCCAGCCTGCTACAGCTGACTTTATCTCTGCCTTGATGCAAGCGATGACGGCCCTATCCACAACTCAAGGCACTGCACCCCAGATGCCTCAGCCTGAGACACCGAAGTCCAGGATAAATTACACGAAGCCCCCTCAATTCTCAGGCCGGGACACCGAGAATCCACTCAGCTTTTGGACAAAAGCTGAGAATTTCTTAATCAAACATGACGTAGACAAGGACCAATGGATCGACTACCTCATAGACAATTCCCTCCACGGCGATGCGAAGAAATGGGCTCAGAAATTTTTATACACGGACCTGCCATACACCACATTTCGAGACCGTCTCCTAAGGAGATACAATGACCCTGCCGCAATTTCAACCCTGACGTCGAAGCTTTATGGAGAACATCAACGTAGGGACGAATCCACGGAGGAGTTCATTAACCAGAAATCTGCCTTATTCAGACGTCTCATGCCACATACCCCCGAGGACCAGAGATGTATAACGATAGCGAACTTACTGAGACCTGACATCGCGATCTGCCTGAGAGCGAACATCCCCAAGACCGAGGAAGACCTTCTGACAATCGCCCAAGGCATGGAATCTGACATCCGCCGGACCGGCAAACCCCAGCAACAGCAACAACAGCCGTACCGTCCCCCACGTCAGGATAACGCTCCACGACACCCTGAGGCGATAGACGAATGGAGGAACCCCAGCGGACAGCACAGGATGCCCTCAATGAACCAACCACCACCTCCAACCCCACAGAACCAGGGAAACGCCAATCGGGGCGCCAACTGAACCCTGTTGTGAAGATGGTGCCCCAACTGAATCCTATTCAGGTACAACCCTCGACAGCAGGCCTCACCCAACTCTATGGAAGGATCAACGGGCAACAAGTGAAGATTTTGGTCGACACCGGTGCCTCCGGGAACTTCGTTCACCAGAGGTTGATCCAGAGACGGGACCTGCAACGAGGACCAGGACTGGTTCAGCTGGCATGCACGGGCAGCACATCCCGCACCCTAGGGACTGCTGCAGTCAATATGAACATTGATACTCTGGACACGACTGTAAACTGCATGGTTATGGAGGATTTGAACCACGACGTTGTGTTAGGGATGCCTTGGTTGGAGCAGGAAGAGGCCAATGTAGACATACCCCGAAAATGTCTACACGCTGGTACTGCCTGCCGAACCACCATCTACTGGGCGACCCCAGCAGAAAGGCAAGCCAAACCACAACAGCTGGAATTCCATCAAACCCCATCCCAACAAGCAGAGCAGTCAACCCAAGAGGACAATGAAGTATTAGACAACCGTCCACGTCAGCCGACCACTGAAGAAACCGAAACAGCGGACATCAGTACAGGCACACCCGAAGAAGAAGAAGAAGTTTCACCACTAGAGACGATGGAGGACGTCGACGAGGAGGAAGAACCTAGCCTAACAGCAGATGACATGCCAGACGCCGAATGCCTTCTATTGATAGAGACAATGGAGCATGGCGACGAGGAGGAGGCCACCGACCCCATTCTCGACGGTCCGGTCGACATACCACTTCGAGAGGAAATCCGGAGAAGTCACCGGACACGCAAGAGAAAGAAACGACTTCTGAGACGCGAGCAGCAAACCTCCGAAGACGCATCCAGGAGCGAGATTGAAGAGAATCTCCTCCAAGAGTTCACGATGGTCGACGATGCTGACCATAGGACCCTGACCCCTCCGGACGGACGGGATGAAGGAACCACAGCGAAGCCGACCACCAAAGACGACCAAGGACGACCAGACGACCCACCTAGACCACCTGGACCATCTGGACCGCCTGGACCACTATAATTTTAAGTATGATATATCTTAAGTTTGAATTGTATTTGTATTGTATTTTTTTTTTCTTAGGTTAAGGATTTCTTATTGTATGTATTTTGATTTTGTTTTATCAATAAATTTTCTTTTAGCACCGTTAGGTCTTTCAGAGGAGGGGGGATGTCTCCGGGGGCGTGTCAGGCAGAAGCTGACCGCCGTGCCGGACGCATTTAGAAATTCGGAGAAATACTTGGAAATTCCAAGTTTGGGCAAATCCGAATTTCTAATTGACTCGATGCAGGGAAAGTCCACTTTTGCTACGTAAAACAAAGGATTTGTTTTATATAAAAGAAGACGGAATTTCTCTCATCGGTCAGTCGAGCTTGCCTCTTCTTCTGTAGACCTAGTCGGTGCTATTATTGTTCCGACTAAGCTATTGTTTTATTTCTTATTTCCTGATAACCATTTATATTTTATTATTGTATATTCAGACCTTTTCAGGTTAGAATATTACTTTGACTTATATTTGTTCATATACTGATTATTTGATATTTTATTTGATTATTTTGATTGTTTATTTTTCTTGTATTTTGTATCTAAGTTGTTCTTCCGTAAGTTAAGAACACTTAGAAATATTTACCTTACTTTTTTCTATTTTATAAATTTGATTTTGTACTTTGTGTCTAAGTAGTTCTTTCCGGTAAGTCAAAGAACTCTTAGAAATATTTCTCTGATATTTAACTTGTTAATTTTATTGTGTGCCTAAGTCATTCTTTTCCGGTAAGTCAAAAGAACACTTAGAAATATTTTCACAATCATTATTGCATTATTATTTCCGATATTTATCTAAGATATTTTCTTAATATATTTGTCTCTTTTATTTTACCATTTCATGCTGAATTGTTTCTTCCGTAAGTCAAGAAACACTTAGCAATATTTCCATATCTTTTCTGTATTTGATTTTCTTATTTTCTATTATAAGTTGTTTCTTCCGTAAGTCAAGAAACACTTACAAATATTTGTATTCTTATTTTACTATATTTGATTCTATTGTTTGTTTTCTGTTCTAAGAAACACTTAGAAATATTTCCATACATTGTTTCATATTTACATATTTCATTTATCTATATTTCTGTTTTAAGTTGTTTCTTCCGTAAGTCAAGAAACACTTAGGAATATTTCTGCACTTTTCTGTTCTTTTATTCTTGTGTATTTTACTTTTCATTCTAAGTTGTCTCTTCCGTAAGTCAAGAAACAATTAGAAACATTTTCTATGCATTGTATTTTTATATACCATTTTATTTCCTTGTTTACTAAGTTATTCCTTCCGTAAGTCAAGGAATACTTAGATTATTGTACCTGTTCTGTTTTCTATCTTTGATCCGTTATTTCGTAACCGTTCCTTGGAACTGTTACCTATAACCGATACTTGTCACGGTAACTGTTACTTTATACCAGTAGCGATTATTAACCCTTTTGATAGCGACAACCAAAGATGGTCAACACCCGATCAAATTCCGGAGACAGGAAGAAGTCCGAAGAGCCGGCGATGGGTCCCACAGGCCCAAATGTCCCCTCTCGGCAACAGTGTCGTGCACAATTCTTTAATTTCAAAAAATTCAACATATACGGAAACTGAGACAATGGATGTACGCTTAATAAAACTATCTCAATCACAGGGTCCTAATAGGCCAGCAGAAATTGCTTTATATGTTAGAGATAAATTTAAAAATCATTTTATGGTTCATGGTCATATACAGAAGGTTCTGTATCATGACAAAATAAATGTCTTATGTAATTAATATAGTACTGTACATATCCATATTTAATAAAACACAATTTTTATTGTAATCTCTCTATTATTTTTTACCAACTAGATGTATAAATTACCTACTAATTTTTTATCCTAAATCTTTAAGTTCGGCTTCATACAAAATATTGTCAATTTTTCGTTTCACCTGTAACAATCTTTTTTTGTTTTTGAAAGTCTCTCTGTCACAAATTTTTCATAAATGGAGTTTTCATCCTCATTTGATGTACTACTTATAGAATGTGCAATGCTGTCTAAAACATCTGACGCTTTATTTGTTAATGTTGGTTCCACCTTCTTCTTCTTTTATTTGGTATATCATACACTTTAAAATACATAAAATGCCATTATCACCTACTTTAAACACCATATATCTAAATCGTTACTTGACGTACTGGCTGTTTCATTGATATCGAATGATGAGACAAAGAATTCATTTAAAAATTGAAGTTGATTGTTGTACCATAGTTTTGCAACATATATCTGCAAAAATATAAATATGATTAATAAACATATTACTTACAAATCCTGTAATATATTTTACCTTACTGTAAGTATTTCGGATTCCGTTCCATTTTCTTTGGATATCAGAAATTTGCTTTTGACTAATTTCTCTTGACTGATTTAAAGCAACATTTCGTTTCTGTTTATTATGATAATCTTTGCGTTTAACGTTAAATAAACATGGATTTGATTCATACCCTTCTATCAACTGAATTATATTCTCCGTTGATCAATACATTTTTATTAATTATGTATTTTAATGTAAATACAAAACAAAACAAGTTAACCTTAAAAAAACCAACGTTACGGTATAACCAAAGTTACGGTATAATCATTGGTGAAATGAAAATAATCTAACTGCGCATGCGTGTGTACTGATAATTGGTATGAAATAGGGCATGTTCTAATTTGTACATCATTTTTTGTTAACAGATTCTATTTTATATTTTAAAGCCGGTTTTCATGCTACATCTTATTGTACGTATTGTTGGATAGGACAAATCCTATACACTAAAACGTGGCATGTAAACAGCAAAACGTAGGTACGTCTTGTCAAATCGAAATGAAATCCAAGGTCAGATCGCAGAAATGATGAAAGAAGCATAGTTTTGCGAGAACTGATAGGACAAAACGTTATGTGTAAATACCTGTTCAGACAAGTTGTCCAATCTTGACTCAGTTGACGGCTAGCTTCAATGCAGTGAATGCCAAAAAAGCCTAATAATGTAAGATTTGTGGCAATGCACCGACGATTCTCTCTGGGAATTTATTGAATTGTATGAAAGTTTTCTGTGTTTTAACATTGCATCTACTTCAGGAGACAATACAAATAGCCTAATTGGAACAACTCCATCATTAAAACGTATAGTTGGCACGTAATTTCGTGAGAAAATTTACAGAGACCAAAGCAAGCAAAATACTAGTAAAATGGCAACGCTGTTAGAGTTACCACTACTTTATTGTAGTACATAGTAGTAAAACAGTAGCGTAGATATCTAATTTTAAATTAAATAAAAGTTTTTACTTTTATTTAATTTTATTTACCAAAAAGTTTCATTTTCTATAAAGTTTAAATAAAAAATATCGGTGTTTTTAACTTCTGTGATATATCTTGGGAGTGATAACACTAATCGACTCGACTGAACAGAACTTATTGTAAAATAATAATATCTATATAAAACATTGTTAATAATAGTAGTTATTCAGCGAAAATGGCAGTGACAGTTTCAGTTGACATACTCCCCTAAAAGATTAATAATTTTTGTCCTATCAAGAAGTGTGTTTATACCCTGTTTTCAAAGATATGTAAGCAAAATGGGAATATCTACAATTAAAATAGAAATAAAGGTTTCAACTAACATTTAATAAGTACTTACTATCTACTCAGAATCACTGTTATCACTAGTATCACTCGTATGATCTAAATTTATAGGTAATTTGGTTAATGCTGGTAAATATTTAACATAGTCATTTTCCACTATGATCACATGTTTTATTTTTATTACATTTTTCCAGTTGGTTGCTGTAATTTTTGTGACTTCTCTTCTAATTAACTGGAGGACACTAGACAAAAAATTTTGGGAGCGTGGAGCGAAAATGTTTTAGAACAATTTGTAATATATATATATATATATATATATATATATATATATATATATATATATATATATATATATAATATTTGGTGTCGAGTATTTTACCCCCTTTTTGAGACGCCCTTGTTCGAAAAGACAATCTCTTTTTTACAACTTGCCACATCACTCCGAATCCACTTTTCTTGTTCACTTTTATAACTTGCTTGTCGTTGTTTCGTCATTTTTTCTTTGAGCTTTCAATTTTCGCCGCCCGCACCCTTTTACCCTTTAAATAATTTCTATTTCAGCCCCTTTTCATTTGTCTCTTTACTCGTTATGACACAGAATGTATAAACGATAACATATAGTGTAAAAAAAGCACGGCTTTTTATTACCTATTATTTGTTAAGAAAAACATTGAAGCTTTTTGTTTTGAAATACAGTTGTTAGGATAATATCTTACAAACAAGTTTTCATTTATATAATGTAGAGTTTGGGTTTATATACAATGCAAAGCAAAGAAAGTATTAGCAAGTTTGTATCAGCTGATATCAAATGATAATAATTTAATCAAAAGATCAGGAATTCAAAATCTAAGCAAAATTTTTAATTATATTATTTCTTTTTAGTTTATATATGAAACCAGTAAAATATCACATTTTGATTTAATTTTACATATATTTGTTACATTTTTTCAGGCATCTATCAATGGTGAATAAATCTTCTTCTTTTTTTACTAAACAAAAAATAATTTTTAAACAAAATTTTATTTTTGGCAATATAATTGTCAAAAATAAAAATTTTAAGTTGGCATTTATGACATTGAGGCTTAATTGTAATTCATCGCTATTATAACTTATTTATAAATTCAATTGTTTTTATGTTAAGAAACTATTTTAAAATTATATTAAAATTTCAGAGAAACATTTATTAGATTAAGAAGAACATTTTTATAGTAATATTTTTTGAAAATATATTAGCAGCATTTTTATTAACTAAACTCTGTGAGATTCAACTTTGTGAGATATTTTGTATTTTTTAGCAGCTCTTGATATTAACTGTAAAAACAATTGAAAGCTCGAGTAAAAAATAGTTAACCAATAGTCATTTTTATTGACTCCAACCCATAACCAAACAGTTATATATGTATAGATATATAAATAATAATAATTTAAATATTTCGACCAATAAACTATAAAAGATATTTCGAAGAAATAAAAGTCCATTATCCTGGATTACCTGTAGTAAACAAAATTTTAGAGATATGTCTAAATTATTTTCTTTGTAAAATATATTCAAGTATCGGGAGTGAGCTTAAGTGAAATCATGAACAATGCGAGCGGGTTTTCCAAATGGACTTGTACAGTGAATAAGACAATAGAATAAATATTTAGAAAATATATTTCTCCATTAGTCCTTAAGAATTTGTAGAAACCGATTAGCATGTCAATAGTTTTTAGGAAATTTATAATTGTAGGTAAAATTGTTGTTTGTTTGTAAAAAAAGCTTTGATTGGAGGAGATTGAAAAAGGTGGGATAGGTATGTAAGAATCAGAGTTTAGCTAGATTTTTGAGGAAAAAAAACATAATTAGTTGTTTTCCAACTGTGGAAGGCGAACAGTTGTTGTTCTCTGGCGGTTCCTCAGAGGTAGTAAACAGTAGAAGTGAATGTTTGTGAGTTTTCGTGAAGTAAGTGTATCTGACAGAAGCCTATCCAGTAAAATATTGTAAGTTATATTTTCTACTTATATTCCAAGAGAGAATCCTGTGAGAGATTCAGTTTATCGAGAGGAGAAGAGGCTAGCATAATTTGAACAATATGTGCATTTGAAGGAGATCATTAAAGACGATAGGCTCGCAACAATTTGTTGTAAGATTGTTGATTACCTAGGGGACTGCTAAGAATAGATAGTGTAGGCTACAAGGAACAAGGATTTGGACAACACATCAGAGAGATAGTTTTACTATTCGTCAATTTTTCTTTATTAACAACACATTTTTTTTACAGGATAATTTTACAGGATTAAAGATAGGAATATTTTGATCAGGAGTTTTAGAACACCAATGTTGATTTGAGATTTTAATTTAAATTGTATGTACCATTAATTTTTGAAGGTTCACGTACGTAGAACAAAATTTTGATAATTATTATATGAGCTATTTTTATTGAAGATATTTTAGTGTGAATTTTATTTCAATATATTTTTATTTCAATATATAATGTTGTATCATATATGTTTTTTATTATTCCGGTATTCTTTGGACCTTACCTATCATATGTAAAGCATAGATATTAAAGCACGAGTATAACCCTGAGATAAGAGAATTAAATAGTGTGATAGAATCACCTTTAAATAAGTTTAATTAATTAATTGATTAGCTAATTAATTTCTTGGTGCACCTCAGACTTTTAATATCACATTAATATATATATATATATATATATATATATATATATATATATACCTATATATATATATATATATATATATATATATATATATATATATATATATATATATATATATATTATTGTGATATTTCAAGTCTTGGTGCGCCACGCAATTAATTAGCTAATTAATTAAATAATTAAAATTATTTAAATGATATGATTATGACTCTATCACACTTTTTAATTCTCTTATCTCAGGGTTAAATTCGTGCTTCAATATCTATGCTATTAAATGTGGAAGGTAAGGTCCAAAGAATACCGGAATAATAAAAAAAAACATAGGATCTAACGTTATATATTGAAATAAAATAATGAAATAAAATTCACACTCAAATGTTTTCGATAAACAAATCTCATATAATGATTCTCAAAATTTTGTTCTACGTACGTGAACCTTCAAAATTAATGGTACAAACAATATTAGTTGAAATCTCAAAATCCAAATATTATTCTAAATCTCCTAATCAAAATATTTATATCCTTTCTAAATTAAGTGTAAAAAATGTGTTATCAACGAAAGAAAAACTGCAGAAAACAAAACTATCTCTCTCTGATGATGAGTGGTCCAAATCCTTGTTATTTGTAGACTATATTATTTACTCCTTAATGATATATCGTCCTTAATGATCTCCTTCAAATGCACGAATCGTTCAAATTATGCTAGCTTCTTCTTCTCTCAATAAACTGAATCTCTCGTTGGCCTGAGTGAAAAATGACTCTTGGAATATCTTTTCTTTACGATAAACTGAATCTCTCGTTGGCCTGAACAGTGACTCTTGGAATATAAGTAGAAAAATATGACTTACAATATTTTACTGGATCAGCTTCTGTCAGATACACTAACTACACGAAAACTCACAAACTTTCACTGCTACTGCTTCCTACCTCTGGGAAACTACCCGATAACAACGGCCGTTCGCCTTGCACCCTTGGAAACCAACTGACTATCTTTTCTCTCTCAACAATCTAGCTAAACTTTCATTCCTACATACCTATCCCACCTTTTTCAATCTCCGCCAATCAAATCTCGTCACAATTCTCCTATTTTTTTCATTTCGATAACAAACAAAATTTTACCTGTAATTATAAAATTTCCTAAAACTTATTTACAAATAATATTTTTCAACGATTCTTAAAAACTAACAAAAACTTATCTTTCTAAAATCTATTCTATTGTCTTTA